GCCGGCAGGTGGCGAGGCGTGAGGGAGCGGCGGGGGGGGTGCTGTGCCGGCGGCCTCAGCACCGCGCCCCGGCCACACGCGCCCTCGCTTCGGGCAGAGGGTCTTGCCGAAGAGCGACGCCGTTCCTCGGCAGCGAGCCGCCGTCCCGTCCCGCGGCCCCCCGCTCCTCGTTTCCTCCCTCACCCCGCTCACTCGCGGATTTTGTCTTCCCTCAGGGACGTGGCTGCTGTACCTGCCGTGCACCTGGAGCGTTGGCTTGGCTGCCGAGCCGGGATGCCTCCCGGACTGGCACATGCTGTCCCTGTTGGGCATCGGAGCCGTGCTCATGCGCGGAGCCGGCTGCACGATCAATGACGTGTGGGATCGCGGCTATGACAAAAAGGTAGAGCGCGCCCCGTGGGCTTGCAAAGACCTAGGGAAGTGAATTGCTGGTTAATTAACCAAGTACACATCCAGTCGTCTCCAACATCACCAATGATCCCTTGCTGAGGGCAGGCATAGGGCTCCAGGTTCAGAAATTCCTCCGTGTTTCTATCAGAGATGTATGCAATTAATTTGTCTATGTTTCCTCCTACAATAGTAGAAAGCATTTTATTTTGTGTAACATTTCTCTGTCTAGGACTGTAGTAAGTCTTCTAGAGTACTTAGCTCTGCGTAAGATGAAATATACCTTGTCGTCAGCTGTAGGTAGTACTTGATCAAGATTATTTTTGAACTTTGTTTTGCATGACAGAACAAAATAAAAAACACTTTTTTGCGACACTTGCTAGTTATGATCTACCCAAGAATGACTTTTTTTTTTTTTTTTTTAATTTTCAGGAGCAAGGTTTCCTTGAGTATTGTTAATTTCTTCATGAGAAGGGCTGTTAAGACTATCATGCTCAACCCTGAACCAATCCTATTCTATTATGTTGTATTCTTCATCTCCCTTTTGCTCAGAAGAGGGAAATAAGCAAAAGGCAGTGCTTAGTGTCAGATGTTGAAATGTGCAAACGTACAGGCTTGGAGGGGAGTATCCTAGTGATGCGTCACTGTTTGCTTGTCCTGTTTTCTGTTCCTACACTGTTCCTCCATTTTTGGGGTTTGGATTTCAGTGCTGGCAAGAGGCAGGATAACAAGCCAATCTGATATGTTAAGTTCTTCTTACAGCACTGTTATATTTGTGCTGTTGGGAAGGCAACGAATCAGTACAGGTTTTGTGGCAGCTTTGGGTGGTTTAGGGTTTGGAGGTTATTAACAACTATATATGCTAAAAATATTTGACAGGGTGAGGTGTGTGATTAGAAAGGTGGAATTTTCAGTATAGTGAATTCATTTATGCATTAATGTCATGTGGTTAGCTCTAAAGTTTTACAAATTCCCATCGCAGCTCACTGTTACATATCTTAAAAGGGTATCTTCAAAACAAGCGTGATACAGGCCAGGTCAATAGCAGGATGTTAGGTTGTGTTGGTGATGGTGGTTTGGGGTTTTAGATTTTTTGTTACTGATTATTTAGTAAATGTTTGCTTTTCTTGTCTTTAAATGAAACATCCCATGTTTAGTTACGATGTGCAGTGGAACTGGTCACAGATATCTTAAGCGCCTGTTTAAAGTGCAAAAACAGTATTTGACATTCAATGTAACCTGATGCGGGGGAAGAACAAACTAAAAGAGCTTATTTAAATTCACATTATTAAAGCATTTACGGAACACTTTATACATACATAGTTTTCCGTAAAAAGTTGGCTTTCAAACCTCTTCGAATAGACTTTATACCATTTTCATCAAGATGCAAAACTTTTGTCTTTTTTTTTTTCTTTTGGCAATCATCACCTTTGGCAAGTTACCCGCCATACATTTCAATTTAACTTTTTTCTGATATTTGTTTCTTCCTTCAGTTCACCTTATATGGTTTCTTGTTCAAGACAGAGTTTCTAAACTCCATTGTATCCCAACTAGGCTTAAATTAATTGTCCTTTCACGGTTATTAAAAATGGTTAGGTGTGCTAAAGAAGCCCTGCATCTTTACAATATTTTACATGGTAATCACTTAAGCACGGAAGTGCTGCTTGAAATTGGGATAGCTAGCTCACAACTTTTAAAGTCTGATCCCCATCCCCCAAGGTAATAAAACTCATATACAAGATGTCTACAGTGTTTCTAACCAGCCTCTTTGCACACAAGTGGCACTTTATTTCTGCTCTAGTTTTTAAAGCCTGCATGCTTCTATTATAAGCACTGCTGCTTAGAAATACAGCTTTTGTCTGTGATTATATGCTAGGTTTTTATCATTGAAGGAACTCCGTCTCATACATTCTGTGACCTGTTTATTTTTCTGCTTATATGCCAATGGTGTGGCTTTTAGTTTTAAGATATATTGGAATGTGTTATGTTGGATTTTATATTAACATTATTCTGTTCATTTTTAGGTTGCAAGGACAGCAAGTAGGCCTCTGGCAGCTGGAGATATCTCTATTTTTCAGGCCTTCATTTTTCTTGGGGGACAGCTTAGCTTGGCACTTTGTGTGCTTCTGTCTCTGAATTACTATAGGTGACGTATAAGTTATCTTTTGTTTTTTAAACTTTGATTCCAGGTCCAGAGTTAAGCACAGAGATTTTCAGCAGAAAAGGTGTTGGGGGCAGAGGGAGGAGGTTATTAGTTGTGGAATTATATGTGAAAGTAAAAGAATTAGTTCAGTACTACATACAGCTCCTGTAACGCTGCGCTGTATCTTATGATCTTTAGACTGGCAAGCAATAAACCTCTTGGTACTTTTTCCAGTATTGTTCTGGGAACAGCCTCTTTGCCTCTTGTGATAACCTACCCCCTGATGAAGAGAATAACATATTGGCCACAGTTAGTTTTGGGTGAGCTGGAAATATTTTTTACTGTTTTTTTTCTTCAGATTGAGTTTTTGGGGTGTTTTACAAATTAGTAATTGAACTTAAGCAATCTGATTTTTTTATAACTTTAATTTAAAGTAAAAATACCATATAGACAAAGTTCTGTTGTGCCAGAAGCTCCTTAAACAATTTATAACACATATAAGAGTTAATGTCTGGGGGTTTTTTGTTAAAAATCAGTTCCTTATTTTGACAGAGTGAGGGGAGGGAGGAAGGGAGGGAGAAAATAAATATTTGTCATTTGAGAATTGGCTTTAGTTTTGGGGTTATCTCGAAACCTTTCTTAAACATGCATTTGTCCTGCATTTCAGTCTTTAGCCTCTAAAATAACTCCTGTGCAGACACTGATGGGGCTTATATTTCAGGTTGAGCTACTAAAATGTGTCTTTGTATCTTGGCCTTCACATTCCAGCTGCCTTCAGCTTTTTCAACCCAAATTGTCATTTTCAGCCTTGAAGTACCATAGCTGGCTGCTGTGCACTCTTGCAGTCAGTTATACTGACATCTTTTGTTATACTAACATCTAAGCGTTTTAACTTTAGACCCGTTGTTTGAGTACACTGGAATAGTTCTGTGCAAATGTTTCCCTATGCTAGTGAAGTAAAATTTAAGTTGGGGAAAAATGCGTGGCTATACGTATTTATCCTTGTATGTCCAGGGTATTTAATGTCAAATTATTTGTATTTATTACCTGCCTGAAAATAAGTGGTAGAAAAATAGAGATGCCAGTATTGTACAAAGAGCTGCTGTTATGATACAGGCTGGAATAAATAATATTTAATTCTATACATGTAATTTAGATTGCTCCTGGAAATCTTGTAACTTCTTTTCTTTTTTTTACTCTCTTGATGTTTTTAGGACTTACATTTAATTGGGGAGCCCTTCTTGGCTGGTCTGCCATCAGAGGGTCATGTGAGTGGTCTGTGTGTTTGCCCTTGTACTTAGCTGGAGTAATGTGGACGCTGGTATACGATACTATTTATGCACATCAGGTAGAGTAACAGTGGGAAGTTTTAGTTATCTGTGTATGTTTGTGTGTTTAATTTACAACTTTGTTGTCAAACAGCAGTACTAACCTGTTGCAGTTCTTCATGCTCAGCTGAGCTAAAACAGCACCAAAGAAACCTCAGCCCTTGCACTTTTTATTGCTGTTTGCAAATGTTTTATGTATCAGGTAGAAAGCTGGAAGTATAATGCACTTTGTGTGCCTATGCATTGGCATTGTGTAAATAACTTTGATGTTGGTATTAGCTCTTGGCTGCTAAAGCAAGTCTAAGGACCAACCTTCTAATTTAAATTTTAATGTAGGGACCTAAAAATGCTCCTAAATTGGGTTCCCAGTAAGAAGCGTTGGAAACTTAAGCAAGGCCTCCCTTCTTATTTTCCTTATGAAGTGGCAGTTGGATTGTGGATTTTTTTGCTAATTCATCCCTTCATTCTAGGATAAGAGGGACGACATCATTATCGGTGTGAAGTCAACAGCATTACAGTTCAAGGAGGACACGAAGCAGTGGCTCAGTGGCTTCAGCCTTGCAATGCTCCTGAGTTTGTGCATAGCAGGAATGAATTGTAACCAGACATTCCCGTATTACTCTGCTGTGGCTGCTGTAGGGGCTCACCTAGCACACCAGGTTTGATGGATTTATTTATACTTTTTCCATGTGGAAGTTCTTGATAAGAAATCAGAGTGCTTTTCAACTCCCATCAATTCACCAACTACCTAAAAAAAACAATACCTGTAAAGAGAACTGAAGTCTTCTGACAGTAAGCTTGCTTCTCTTAAGTACCTTTTGCAGACCTCTCATTTGAACAGACCTCCAGCTGTCCACAGATTGTAGAGCATTGTTTTTCAATCTGTTCCTAAACAAAAGAACTGCTTCGTGTTAAGCTGTGATCTCAAGGAATCTTGCTTCCAGTAGCAGCTGCAGCTAGATCCACCTCAATGTCCTGCAAGATTGTCCAGTTTTTACTGTTCTGATGCAGCTCTTGCTCAGCACATACGATCTGAGACTACAATTGATGTACATTATTATCGTTCACTTCCTTTAAAAAATTGTATGGTCTGCAGTATCAAGGACACATGCAGGCTTTTTTTTTTTTTTTAATAACATGTTGTACAGTAGCTATGTGAAAATGAATCTTAGAGATGGTTAATTTTACATCTAAATAATTATTCTGTATTGTGGTCTGGAGCTTCAGTCTGGGATCTGACAGTATAACAAAATTTTCTGTGGCTTTTTCACTTCATCTACAGCAGATGTTAATATTATAATTTTATGGCAATTGACAGTTCTAATTCACAGTTCTTTTTACAACAGAGAACAATCCAGTTCAGTCTTGTAGTTGTATTAGTTTAGAAATTTTAATGAATAACAGAAAGAAAGGAAATAGCTTTGTCGGTGAAAGAAGCAGATAGGATCTTGTAACCCTGTTCTTTCTGAATCCTAACAACTGTGTTGCCCGGTCTTGTAGTGACCAGTCTATGTGAAAATTAATTGCTGGTCTTGATAGGTGAGTGATAGCAAAGAGGTTTGTGCATTGCAAGTAGTAAAACCATTGACAGTTGGAGAAGTTAAGTCTGTGGTTAATGTAAAACTTTTTAAAGCACATCAGACTCATGTTACACTTTAATGGGAGGAGTGCATGCAGGTGATGGATATTAAACATACCTCTGAGCAAGAGAATTCTTGTGATGATGTCATCTGGTACTTGTCAGCCACTGCTCTTCATAGTAATTGTGCTTGGAAATCTATGAGGGAAGAATACTACATTCCACTATATAATGGTTTACAGTTTGAATTGTCAGAGAGGCCTTACGTTGTAGTTTTGGCACAAATGGAAATGACTTTGCTGCAGGGAGGGTTCTCATAAGTGAGAATGCAGCCCTACTGAATCTAAGTCATGAAGAGTGCAGAACAATTCTGTAGGCTGCTAAAGTCACAAGAGCAGCATTGTTCTGTGTACCACAGAGTAGCTTCTTTTTGAATGATTATTTTAATATTAGTTCTGCTTAAACATTCTCATGCTTATCTTCCTGCTCAAGATTTCTGAACGTGTGCTTAACTACCTGAGTTTAGAAAGCTGAGTAAGACATATGAGGAGTAGGTTTTCCTTAATTCATTGCATGTGTGCCTGAGACAGAGGAATTTGGGTCATGAAGATGTCAAACTTCTACCCCATTCGAGAAGTTCACTGATAGAAAAATAATATCTTTTATTTGCTTTGCATTTCTGAAGGCGTATCTCATGCTTTGGCTGCTGTTAGGTTTGATTTGTCAGTTCAGTGTTTTCAGCTCCCTGTGCTTGAGGGCCTGACAGGTGTTCAAGGGTGTGGATAACATTGTGTCTTAGAAGCTTGTGGACAGCATTTCAGATTATTTGATCAGAAACCAGCCCTGTCACCTCTGTACAGCTGCAAATGGCAGAGGAACAAGTCTCTCAGGGAAAGTTTCACTTCTTTTAGTTGAATACGTTCTGACTCCTTCAGAGGCTGAATTGCAAGGTTTGAGGTTTTGGGGTGTACTTTTTTATTAATCCTTTCACTTGTTTTGCTTAACATTTTTTCTTGTCATCCTTCTCAAGACTTTTGCACCAAGTTTTGTTTCCAGGAATATTTTTCAATAACTTTGCTCTTGCTGCACTGTGTGGTTTTTTTCACCTTTAGTTGCCAAGCTGGGCAAGCCTGGCGTCTAGCTGTTGTTGCAGGTGTCCTGGTTCTTTTTTTTGCAAGAGAGTTGAACAAACATGGCTAAGAGCAATTGGACTAAACCAGTCCTGTGTGACTACGCAGGGCCGGGCATCTTCCTGTGAATTCCAGTTAGCCTGGTTCACTGCTGGCTCTCCAGTGCCTTGTCTCTATTGAAACACGGAGCAACACCTTGCAGCAGAGATTTAAAGGTGCAGGCAGGTTTGGGGGTTTTATTTTTATTTAAAGTTCCCACAGAAGAAATAGGTGGCTACCTACTGAGAAAAATCTCAAAAAGACTTATTTACATGCCCAGATAACTTTGCATTTTTAAATGTCAAACCAGTCCCACCAGTATCTGGGCTGTTTATACTGTCCTTCATTGAGAGGGTCCGGGAATCATGTTCATATACGACCCTTGACTTTTCTGCTATATGTTGAATAAATCTGTCAGGTAACTATAGATGCCAGTTATGCAAAAAATCCTTTGTAAACACAGAGTATTCCTGTTTATTGTGGCGGTGAGGGTAGACTTTGGAATTTGAGATTCAGTTTTTGAAGTTCTGTGTCTGTTTGTGATGTGTCAAATATTTCTGAGTCTGTAGAATAATAATGCTAGAATGTTATACTGTGCTTTTGCAGATTTACACTTTGGACATAGACAAACCTGAAGACTGTTGGAAGAAATTTGCTTCAAATCGTACTGTAGGAGTTCTGCTCTTCGTAGGGATTGTGTTTGGAAATCTGTGGAAAGGAAAAGACTTAAAAAATGTAGAAGAGCCTTTAGAAAACAGGTAGTTGAAATTAATATAAATACTGATATTTTAGTCCAGCTAAAGTGTAAGTACTACATAACCATAGCTGTTTTATACTGTTTATTTATAAAAGCTGGTGAAAACATTCTTGTTTCTGAAAATATGCAAATGAGATTATCCTACAGTGTAAGTTTTGATTATCCTTAAATGACTTCAACCTTCATAGAAGCTTCAACAAGTGAAGCTGCTCTGCTGGTCCTGTGTAGTACAAGCAAACTTCTGTCAAGCTCTCAAGACTGTAAGCCCAAGACTTTATATGACACCGATGTCTCTTAGTGACAGCACGTGGGAAAATGCAAAGTGATTTTAGGATGTAAATAAAATCTGGCTGTACATGTTTGGTGTTCTGATTTATTACATGAATAATTTTCAGTTTGAGTTGGAGCTTGTTGCATGTAAGAATTGTAATAACAATTTTTATCCTGACATGTCTAGAAGCAGTCAGGACTCTGAGAGTGTGTGAGCCAGAATAAGAAGTCAATAGAGAAGTATTTAAAATTACCTTTTGCTCTTGCTGTGATTGCTGGCAGTGGTTTCTTTTTATGTGAAAAGAACAGACTTCTGCAAAGTTGCCTGGACGGAGTGAGCTGAGCTCTAAGTTGCCTGCACAGAGTGAGCCCAGCTTGTTTATCAAAAAATTGAACACACACTACTGACTTAAACCAAACACAGAGCAGCCCAGAGCTATTGCCAAGTCTGCATGACTGGTGGTTGACTCTGAGCTACAAATTCATCATGCAAAGTGATCCTCTTTTTATTTTTTTTATTTTATTTGTTTTGACTCATGCCTACTGGTTTTATTTGTAGTCTTACAGGAAGAACTTGTTTACAGGAGAATGCCTATGAACAATACAAAGAGCAACTGCAGGCTAACAATTACATTGCTCCAAACCATTCATGTTTTCAACTGGTTTATGCTCTCTCAGTTACAGGATTTGCATGGTAGTTAACCTTTTCTTTGACTCATGGTGTTAAAGAGCTTGTATGGCGCGTTCTGGAATTAATTTCTGTGGAAGAAGCAACGGACAGGCCTGTTCCATGAAAATGATATGGTGGAGTTTACCTCAATTTACATACTGGTAGGCAATGCAAGCATGCTTTTCTCCACGGGTGGCTTTGTGTCTGCCTGCATGCAGGGCTGTGGTTCAGTGATGCAGAGCGTTTGGTTGCCAAACTCATTATGGTATTCCAACAGCCTTTCCTGATGACCGCTCTGGTCCTTGAGTAGTGGGTCATAACTGTGCATGCAGTTGCACCCAGAAATAAGGCTGCGTACTGCTCCAGCTGTGAAGATGGGTGTCGTATTTTAAGGTTATTTAAACCGATATGTCTGAGAGACATTGCAGTCCAGAGCCATGTGTTCAGGGTTTGCTAACTGTGTAGTTTTGCATTACTGATGATGGTGAACAGGCAAATAAGTTCCTGTTGCAGGGAAATGAGAAAGCATATAAGGAATCAATGGCTTTGGTCACAGGAAGTCCTTTCTGGGGCTGGAACAGACTTCTGTTGGTTCTGAACACTTCTTTTTAATGTACGCCTTGTAAAGTTTTGGGGTTTTTTTCTTTTACTATTTAAACAGGTGATGTCAAATATATTTTGAGCAAATTAGGAAGAGTAGATTTTTCAGCCTGACTGCATGTAAGATAGAAATATGTGAAAATGTTAGGAAGCATAACTGCTTTTAGGGCCTTCTTGGTCCTTATACAGAAATTGTTCTTAAAAAGGGTTTATAATTTTGGGGTGGAGAAAGTATTAAGTTGAAGAAAAGCAGTATAAAAACAAAGAATAGTGAGTTTCTGAGCAATTATGTGACAAAGTTGCATTTTGTAGCAGGAGGATTGGATGCATGCAACTTTGTTTTGAACTTTGCTTATAAGGCATTTACTAGTAATAAAAAAGTCTTGTGATATAATTAGTATCGATCAGTTTCTTAATACTTGCAATATTACCTTGGAGAGGTTGTGGCAAAAGTCATTAATCCATTTTTAACATATTAAAGTGTCTTTAAGTAGCTTAGATTTGGGAAGAGCTCACACTTTATAGTGCCTTTGAACCTACTGGTGTCTTTTGTCTGGTGACAACTTGTCACCAGCAAGTGTTCATCTTGTAATGAGAGGAAAAAGAAGATGTAGCTAAGTAGAGTAAAAATTCAAGTTTCGAAACAGTCCTTGTGTCCTAAACTTGAAAATCTTTGCATGTTTTCAGTGGGAGTTTTCCAAATTCATCTGAAAATGCAGTTTATAAAGGTAAGCCATAGCTGTATTTTAGGTTCATTGCCTGAAAAATGAAGGTTTAGGTTCTAGGCTATAATACTGAGAGTGCTGTTTGCGTGAGCATTTTAGATTAATACACAGAAATAAGAAATAACTTTTTAAATGCAAAAGAGACAAAGGCTGAACTACTTCCTCGCTAAAACCCTGTTTGTATCTGCTGGCAGGTAGTATCTTCTCTTCTTCTTCCATTCCCAAGCCATTCTATTCCAAATCTTCACAAGGACACTCACTGCTGTGTTTAGATACAGTCCATTAAAAAATTCTCAAATACACCTATCTCTAAGCAGCTTTATTATTAGCTAGTGTGTTTTTGCTGAAGTAAACAGTGTCCTCCGGAAGCTTCTCCTCCAGTGTCAAATGTTGCATTTCAGCTCCCCTTCCTTTTCCAAATGTTCCTCCACTGAATGTTGAGATAACAGATGCTTTTGGAGGCAGCAGGAAGGTCAAACGTGCCTTGCAAAGGCAAACATGAGACACCAGCAGTTGCTCAGCAAAACAGAAAACTCTGTAACCAACACAAACACTTGCCTTTGTGTGCTTCCATTGTACTTTGTAGAAAGGTGTATCAAAGCAACACCAGCTCTTTGTCCAGGAGTAGCTGTACCTATGTAGGGGTGCTAGTTCCTGCGGGGATACGGGCAAAGGTTGCCAAGGCATCAGCAGCCCTTTGTGGTGGGTCTGGATCTTTGACTTAGAAGCCCACTTGGGACAGTGGCACATGGGAGCTTTCACACACCTTTGCCAGGGGCAGGGACTCACGATAGGGTCATCCAAGACAACTTGTGCCTGGTGTATTTCTTGGTAAATATGGTATTGTTAATGCAAGGGGGGTCAGATTTTTCCCTCCCTCTAATTTCAGGAAAGTATGTGCTGCAGGCACCTAGCTCAGGAACTGTGGTGTGCTAACAGCATGGGCTGGAGGACATGGGACAGCCAGCGTGGCTGGAAGGGAGTCCAGCTGCAGCAGGTCACCAGGTCAGTAGGTCAGGCACAGCACCAGACAATGTTAGCGTAACGTGGGAGCGAAAAGGTGGCTCAACTCAAAGTCAGGAAGGTGTGTCAGCATATGGAAAGATCAGAGCATCCTGTGTGCTGAAGTGACTAAAAAGCAGGCTGAAAAATTAAGGTAACCCATCACCTGTACCAGCACGACATTGTGGTCCTATAAATCCAAGTGACTCAGAGGAAGAGTGCCACCGTGGAAAGGGTGGTGAAAAATAACAGACGAGTGCAGGAAGCAGAAGCTCAGCCAGGCTGCGTGAAACATCTTGTGACAAACCTTTGGCCCAGCCAGCATGAGACTGCAGGTAGATGTGAAACCACTTCTACTACTTTCCTTTGGGTCTAACATGCTGTGGCTGTGAGCTGCTGCAAAGCAGCTGACACCCTTGGCCCCAGCCATGAACTCCCCACTGTGCGCTGGACCTTGTGTTTGGGTGTCTGTGGCATGAGGGGTTCAGGCAGCTTGCCTAGGTGGCAATGCACCCCCCCCAGCCATAACCCCAGTGCCATTTTCTGTCTGATCAGCCAGCTGAGTGGACCCGCTTCACCATGTGAAGTGTCCCTGGCATGGGAGGGATGAGGGACATGCAGGCGTGGGCAGGGAACAGCTCTCTTCTTGTACCAACTGCAGTCGCTTCAGTTTCAGTGAGATATGAACCTGACCCTTAGCCGTATTTCTAAGGGCTGTGACAATTTCCCCTAGCATTTTGCTCAGCTCCTTTTCTCCTCCAGCTTTTATAGTTGCAGGTATTTTCCTTTCACCTGAATCATTCCAAGTTGTGGGAAGGAGGCAAGGTTTGGGGGAGAGGTGCTCTTCTGTTGAACCAGCTGAGACATCTGGGAAAAAAGTTCAGATACAGAAGCCCTTCTCCATGTCTGAGACAAAACCTGTTGAAAACCTGAGGTTGTTGCTCCGCCTTTTGAAAGGGCAGGTGAGACCAGAGCTTTGGAGAGGCCCCCAGGCACCCTCCTCCGCCAGGCAGCCCACCCCCCCCAGACCTGCACACCAGTGGGCTTACAGTGGACCCTCTGTAAATGAACCCACTCCTTGCCACTTGAGATGCCAGGGTTTGTGTAACTAGGAGCATGAGGCAGCGTACTGGGGAAGATGGCTTTGCTCATTCGTGGTAGCGTTTTAAGTTGTGTGATGGAGTTGTTTCAAATAGTTTGGAAAACGGGAACGTTTGCACATGGATGGTGTTGGCGTAAAATGGAATAAACTAGTTTTTGGTTGCCATTTCTCTGTAAAATACAATGGTAGAGTGTGTAATTTATACTTTGTTCTTTGCAGAGAAAGCAAAAATGTATTGAGGGAGGTTTTTTTTAACCTCTACTCCTGAATCTTTATTGAAATTGCATTTACTGTAATACACATTAAATTGGTGAAAATTAATTTCAGCTGAATTTTTCCATTGTCTCCTTGGAAATAATATTTTATTCTTACCACGTGGAAAAAGTCATTACAGGTTTGGTTTTGTTAGCACACTTCCTTTCTTCTTAGCTATTGAGACATTTTGCTCTTTGTTTTCTTGCTGTGGCTGAGAGGTGTGCTTTGCAGCTGACTGCCGGTCTTCCCGCAGTGCCACTTCACAGATCCAGAGAAGCCATACATGAAGGGGACTGCAGGCCCCGTGGTGAGCTTTGGCCAGACACCATGGCAGTTGTGACGGGAGGCAGTGGGCACTCCTTGTGAAGGACCTCTGGGTGAAGGGAATGAGCTGAGGTAGGTGTTTAGGGTGGTGTTTTCTCAGGGTGACAAAAGGCAGTTACATTTGATGCACCAGGATTGCAGGTAGAAGTGGGTTGCTTTTCTGTGGAAGAAAAGCACTTGCAGGGCCTGGTTGCTCAGTCAGTGTCACCCCAGCTCTGAATAAAGGACAGACTGTTAAAATCTTTAAAATGTTGCTGATGAGCTTTTTTTTTTTAATGTGTTATCTCCCATACTGACTGTGCATTTCAGCTTCCCATTTCCCTTCCTCCCTCCCCAGCAGACTCCTAGGCTAGCTGGCATTTTGTATGAGCCTAATATAGCCAGCTGGTGGGATGTAAGGTATGTTCTCTTCCAGAAAGCATCTTCTGAACAACTTTTTGCAAACCTGAATTCCCGCAACCTCTTGCAATGTTTTTGAAAAACAAATGGGTTTTTTTCAATGTTTTTCAATGCTTATCAGCCAGGCAACCCCATCATAAAGAAGGGAAAGCTGCAGTTAAACTTTGGAGCTGTTGGAAGTCAAGGGGAGTAATTCAGGGCACAGATCACTGTTATCTCAGCAGCACTATTGGTAAAAGGCTCCACCTAATTGGACCGTAAACCCTAGCCTGTTGACAAACCTTATAAGTTACAGTTTAACTCAAACTTCTCCTTTCCCCCATCTCGATGGCAAGAGAGAAGGGGAACACACCATTAGCACTTCACGTGGGATGCTTTGAACTTGCCTTGCTGGGCAAGCAGCTGCTCAGACCCACTCTGCTCTCTGCACGCTGTGTGCATGACGCTGGGAAACAGAAACCACTGTCCTGGTGTCACAGCTTCTCTGTGAAATGTGGAAGTGCATCCAAAACTGTCAGTGACTTGCACAGAGTGTGTGCAGCTAAATGCTTGGGGCATGTTAGGGAAGAAATAGTAAATATTAGTATCTCATAGAGGGAAATGGATACATGTATGGTAAGGACTCAGTTAATTTTACAATAGCTGGGCTGCATGGCTTGTGACAAGCACTTAGGGGGAATCAGCCTAATTTTTATAGAAAGCCTCCACATGGGGTGTATTTACTAACTCAGAAATGAAAACCCAAACGCATCCCTAAGAAGGAGCAGGGAGCACACTTACTGCAGATGGAGGAAAGGACTAAAAGCAAAGGTACCATCGCGTCCTGCTGCCTCCTTATCCAGTGCTGAATGACAGTGGAGGAGGACAGTCAGGGCTGGGGCTCCCCCCCATCACAGTGTCATGGCACAGGGTGCTGACCTACAGGGAGCCACCCCCTGATTTTCTTTGGGGAAAAATGTTGGAAAAAGGTCTATCCCAACAAATGCACATCATTCAGAGCTGTTCCCCCCCGAACAACAACCACATGTAGACAGAGTTAAGGGAGTAAGACAATATACATGAAACCATTTTTAAAAAAGATGAATAGCAGTCTGTGATTTAATTCTGGGAAAAGGAAAAAGCAAAAAATGTTGCTCTCTGCATGTGCGTTAAGCCTGTACTCGTACAGACAGGGCACAGCTCCTGACCTCCCCCTCCAGTTACCTCCCACCATTATGCTTGCTCACTGCTGGCTGCCAATAAAAGCCTTCCAAGAGCGAGAAAGTTTAGTTTCATCTTCCCCAGAGCCTCTCTGTGCAGGACCCTGGCAAGCAAGGAAGACTGACTGCACTGACACAGGCTGCTCACCAGAAGGTTGGTTCTCTTAAAGCATGGAAATAGTAAAAACTCGTTAGCCTGGGAAGAGTGGAATAATAGTGCAAAAGTAGAGGTTTGTTTTTTTTTTTTCCTGCTCAGCACATAATTTAAGCAAAATATAAGGCAAATACTACTGACGGGGAGGGGGGGATGCGGACTTTTAAAAAGCTATGCACAAAAGCTGGATTACGGAGAGGTTACTATGCCTTTGCTGCCTTCTCCTGCTACCAGAACTGTATAACTGCATTAAAGAAATCTGGCGGGTACTTCGCTCTTTGTTTAAATTGGGCTCTCTCTTGTCTACACGGATTCTCAAGATCAAACTCCTCTTGGCAAGGCTGCTTAGCTCTATGTGTTTTCTGGTAGGCTTTGAGGATGTGCTGGAAGTAGCTGCTCTCCTGCCAGAAGCTTGCATGTCAGGTGCTTTTATATGCTGCTGCCCGGTCTCCCTGTGTATTTGCTATCCTTTTCAGTGGGGTGTGCTATTGGTGACAAGCACCTTAATGTCGCAATTTCTTCATTAATGTTTGCAGCTAAGAGAGAAGAAAGCATGTGAATAATACTCGTATACAGAATAAGGTGCATTTGTTTCAGTGTAGAAAGTGGAGAGATTTACCATGTGTCGGTAGTATTGCCGTGGGTCGACAGAGGGAAGCGCTTGGAGGCAATGAACGCTCACAGTTTCTTTCTGGACATGAAGCTGATGGTGCCTCTGGCTGCATTCACGCCGGGCTCGCAGGCTGGCATGTGCTGCCAGGTGAAGCCAGGGGTGAGATTTCTGGAGGACTGTGCGTTGCTGCAGAGGGTGGGGAAGGGAGGGGGCCCCACTCCCACGCCGAACTTTGTTTCAGTTTCTGTCCCTGGCTTTGGAGCTCACGGGGCTGCGTGGGGAGGAGCCTCACCACCCAGCAGCATAGTGCTGCCTTTGCCAGGCTGCGGGGAATTAAAAAAAAAAAAACCAACAACCAACCCCGATTTGTAGCAAAAAGTCTTGACAAATGTGAGCAGGCCAGTGTCGGGGGGGGGGGGGGTTCCCCTTCCCCTTTCTTCTGTTTGTGCATAACTAGAAGACCTTGACCTCAGGGCAAAACTTGCTTTTAATTGTTATCTGAGAATGTTTTGTGCTGTCTTTTGCTTGGCTGGGTGAATAGGAGGAGCACAGAGATTTTGGGGGGTTTTCTTAGACCTGAGGCTTTACTGGTTTTCAAGGTCCACTTGACTGCTTAGCTGCAGGAAGGCAAGGACTGGGGTTCCGACTTGGGACATAGTGTTGAGTTTCTGCCTTTCTGGCTCTCTATGACAAGAAACCAGAGATACTAGTTTTCTACAGTATCTCACTTGCATGGAGCCTGGAATTACAAGGAAATGCGAGACCACAGCTGCTTCCTGCATGCTTTGTCCGCGTGCCAAAGTAATCTTGTGAAAAATATGCCAAGTTCAACAACCTAAATGCCCAAGTCACTGGCTTTAGCCTAGGTTCACCGCCCAGCCCTGCTTGGCACAAGGGAAGTTGGTGAACTGTGTCTAAGCGCTAGCGAAGCCTTTCTGGGGTGGAGTGGGGAACATCAATGGCCTGATGCTATTTTGAAGGCTGGACAAAATGGCAGAAAATGCAAAAACCTTGAAAAGACACAAATGCAGGTAAGATTTGGTTACACTTCGTCACCTCCAGCAGCAGCAAGGGAGCTGGGTGAAAGACCACCTGCTGAAGAGCAATGGTGATGAGCTCAGTTGGGGGATCAGACCAACCACATTTCTTTCACTAACTGTCCCATTCCCCTCCCATCTCTTTCAGAAGAGCAACTAGGAATGGCCACCCCATCTGTTGTGACGATCCAGCCGCAGTTCAGCATGGCTGCGCCCGTTGTCTCTAGCAGCATGTGGCAGACAGGGCTGATGGACTGCTGCAGCGACTGCAGCGTCTGTGAGTGCCTTGGGTAGTCCCGTGTCTCAGCTGTCAGCAGTGACATGCTGCGGTCGATCCCATGCCCTCTTTGGGACACTTTTCTTGCCCCTGCCGCTCGGGTCGGTGGTGCAATAGCTACAGCCATGTAGCCTTGTCCTCCCAGTTCCTCCCCCAATGCCGGCGGTGCTGGGTGGGTAGGCAGAGCCTCACCCGCTGCTGTGTTTCTCCCCCTGCCAGGCTGCTGTGGGGCATTCTGCTTCCCCTGCCTCGCCTGCCAAGTGGCTGGGGACATGAACGAGTGTTGCCTGTGCGGGACCAGTGTGGCCATGAGGACCCTCTACCGCACCAGATACAACATCCCGGTCAGTGGTTAACCTGCCCCCTCACCATGCTGCAAGGCTGAAAGACAAGGTGACCCCGAGGCGCCTCACTCTGTGTATCAGGGATGAGCGCAGGGCAGCAGTGCTCTCTGCTCACCCTTTTTTCCACTTTTGTATCCTGCATGATGCCAGGAGCACAGGACAGGGGTTGGGATGCCCTTGGACATGCTGATCCCTGGGCTGGTGTCCAACAACGCATGTTAACCAGAAACAGCTCCTTCCCAGCACCCTTCACAGGGGGCACATGTCCTGCCTTCAGCTGCCACTGACCACTGTGGCTCACAGAGCCTCGGCTGCTGCTTCCCATTGCCATCCCCAATCTTTGAAAGATGGGAAAGATTTGAGATCATTGTGGGCAGACTAAAGAATAGATTAAGTTGGTTACATAGATAAAGATCCATAATCAGATGCAGGAGAAAGGTGGTTATTCGCATACAATACATACGTGAAATGGTTTCTTCCCACCAGGGCTTAGTGCCATCCCCAGCACAAACCATGGGGGCCCAAGTCCAGTTTTCCCAAACTGTCTCTTTCTGTATTCGTTTTCCCCCCAAGTCTTAATCTCAGAAGCTGAAAGATAAGTAGCTATGTGCAGCCTGCAGAAAGGGCTCCCTCCTTACTTTCCATAGTGTCGGGGATACTCCAGCCTCCCAAGTACCAAAACCTCTGGTTTTTAGTGTCTGCTACTCAGGATGCTTCAGCCAGCCAGGAAACAAAGGGCGCACTAAGTGGAATGTGATTAACCTTTTCTTGGCTGAAACATGCCTTTTGGGAAACCTATGTCCCTAACCGACTACTTCCTAACAGGGGTCCATTTGCTCTGACTTCTGTGTCACTCTGTGCTGCCCCCTGTGCTCTGTTTGCCAAATTAAGAGAGACATCAACCGGAGGAAGGAGCTACGCATATTCTGGTAAGCTGGGTGTGCTGGTGCTGGTTTAGAAAGCCACTACTGCAGAGAGCCAAGTGGGTTCCTGGAGTCTCTCCTTCTGCCAATGCCTGATGGAAGACACAGGGTTGCTGTAGTGGGGGAATGGCCATGGACAGGTGACAAGAGTGACCTGTCCTGCAGCAAAATGATGCTGGGAACCTCGTACAGGATTGGGGGGAGGGGGCAGGACTAGAGGGACACACACAGTGTGGCGAGGCATGGCCCTGCTACCTGACCCTCCTTTCCCATCCCGTTACAGATGCTGCCATCCTCGCTGTACCCTGCAGAGCTGCTGCGGGCAGGAGTTGCTGCTACCCTGGCTATTGCAAAATACACCATGGGGCGTTTGCCTAGATTATGGTTGATTCTCCCTTCCTTGAGTAATCTCATGAGTAAACAGCAGAGTTTGCCTTCCTGCCTCCGTGTGTGTAACTCTTGCACCACCTGAGAGCACCCATCCTTCTCCCTCTCTGTCCATCTCAGCAGCCCCTGGTGCAGCTGAGATTTCCCTGTGGCCGCTGCAGAGAAAGATTTTTCACTAGTATTTTGTTATTTGCTCAGCTTTTAGAAAGCTTTTAAATATACATAGGAGGAGTTGGTGTTGCTCATCCAAGTTGTAAAATTTGGAAAAGTGACTTCTGCTCCTGATGTAAGAAATTATGTACTTCACAAGTGATGTACTTAAGGAGTGATGTACTTAAGAAGACCACAAAGGTCTTGTGAAATAAGATATCCTCTGTATACACAAGGCATGCCTTGGTAACGACTGTGCCCCTGAAGAAGAAATAAAAGACTGATAAGAAGGGAACATCCTACCCCAGGAGGCGCTGAAAAGTTGAAAAATTGCTAATAGGCACAAAGTCAGCAAAAATCTTTGATAACCGGAGGAAATGTAAAGGTGGCAGGGTGAGATCACGACCACCGACTCAATTCAAAACCAAAAGACTTACCCCCCCCACTCTCCTTGAGCATGCGCTGTAGAATAAAAGAACACTACTTTTAATTCAAAGCGGGGAAACTTTAACCCAATAGAAACTGTACTAGATAAGCGACTACCAGTAACAGTTTTGGGGAAGAACTTTGGAAATTGAATATATAACTGAACCGTATAAATTGCTTGCCCCTTTAGGTATGAGGTGTGCTAGCTTTGTGGGTTACTACCTAGCCCCCATCTTTGCGCAAACAGGAATTGGCATAAAATACCTCTGCTCTGTGTGTATATTGGCTTTTCGCACACTGAGTAAACGACCCCACTTTGGGGGGGGCTGGGGCTTCTCACAGGCAGGTGGTGGCTGCAGGCCAAGTGCGGAGTTGCCCCTGCTGCCGTGGACCCGGGTGGCCGTCTGGGGCTGCTGGCCAGTCCCACTTTTCTGAACATAAAGCCATGGGGATTTTGGGCTGCCTGGCGCCAGCCCACCTCCTGCGTTGCAGAGACATGCTCCCCCACGGACCCTGAGCATGAATTCCCACCCGTCTGCAATTAAAAACCTGGTTGGGTCGTGGGTTGGCCAAGTCCTCTCCGTGGGCAAACCCTGCCGCCTCCCGACCATGGCCAGGCGAGCACGCCTGCCTGCGCTGGGCTGTTAGCGATATGCTCTCCGTCCAAAGGGCAGAGGTTACATCCACCCTCTCTCCACTACTCTCTGGGAGATGCTAAAGGATTTTTGATCCCTACAAATCTCCCCCAGCTTCAACCTTTAAGGAAAATATGATTTTTATTTTTTTTCCCCTCTCTGCCTTCACCTTCACCACAAGCCTTGTAAAGGGCAGGTGTGGCAGTACATCCTGCGCCCCCCCTGCCCAACAGGAAACCAAACTCTCCAGGCAGGGAGGAGAGGAAAAAAACCCAAACCCTAGAGGCCGCAGGTTGAAAATTGAACTGACCAATCGCAATGTGCCAGGTACACTGAAGTGACCTTTTGGCCAATAGGGATTAAAATGACCACAGATCAGATTCGACAAGGGTATAAACGGGATCCTGCAGGAGAACATGTTGGAATAGGTCCTCCTGGGAGCAGCGGGTCT